CTCTTCTTCCCTAAGTCATCATCATCCACATTCTTCTTCATCTTACAATTACAGCAGAATCTCACTAATCTAGCACTATTAAAAACCAGAAGGTGTCGGATTACTTGAATGTTTGGATTACTGGATTATAGTGAAAAAGTCATAATTATTAAAATATGATATTGTAAATAGTGGCAAAGCTTCCCAAAATTGACCAGCGCTTCAATTGCGAGGGTGTCTAATTTTTGAAAGTGTCGGTTTATCGTAGTTTTGGATTACTGAAATTCTACTGTAGACCACAGTAATTCTACTGTAACTGTGAGATGAAGAAGAAAAGATGATGATAACTTAGGCGAGAAGAGAAATACTGCACCTTGTAGGTAGAAGCACAGAAAACAAATGGTGGAGCTTCTCCCAAAGGCAGTAGAGTATAAAAGAAAAAGGTTTATAGTTATTGACATTTTTTTCGATGAAATAATTCGACAGCAAACGCTTTTTGCGACATAAACCTAATTCTTTTATACTCTACTGCCTTTGGGAGAAGCATTCTTTGAACATTAAAATCTCTCATATGTAAGGAAGAAAAAGTATGCAGGCAGCACATACGAAAAAATAATTTAGAGGAAAATAGTTATGTTGTTAGTTTAATAGTTACTCTTGAAATGCTGTGTAAGAAGTACTCAGATCTAATCTCACACTTTATACTCATGGATCTGCCCTTGGGAGAAGCATTCTTTAAGAAAATTTAAATATTTCAATATGTAAGGAAGAAAAGTATGCAGCACATATGAAAATAATTTAGAAGAAAATAGTTACTTTGTTTTTCTAAGAAAAATCATATGCAATAGAGCAGTTTTTTAATTTCTCTTAATTTGTTGCTTTTTTCTTCAAATCTCCAATCTGATATTACATTCCAAAATGCTCCAAATAGTTTTATTTGAAATGTACCATCTTTCTATATTCAGTTTAATCTGAAATGGGATATGATGGAATCGTAGTTAAATCAAACAGCTGATTTAGTTGTATGATTAACTAGTTAGATTGTTATTCAATAGATATCAATATTGAGAACCACTATATCATTGACCAAGCGGGCCAACGTCCAATATACTAGATATTGATTGAAGTATGTACAAAATTTCATTGAAATTTGTTTAACCAACATTATTAGTTTTGGTGCAATATTTTTTTTCATTATTTAGAAAAAAAAAATGTGAACAAAATAAAGGCTTTAATCAAAGGCTGGAACCATTTTCCAGATCGTCAAATGTAGATCATAATATAGATGGAAATATGTTTTCAATTAGCACTTTTTTTGCATTGTTGGATTAAATTAAGAATCATCAGTATTGGAGAAATTTCAATGATAAAATATGTGAAATAGAATTGGTCAATTGGTTGAATTATTCAAAAAAGCAAGGTGGTTAAAGCGACTTCACATCACAACAGCTCATGGAACTCTGAAGTTCTGATAAATATCTATATATAAAAAATGCAAAACAACACTAAATGTAATTTAAATCTTTACTAGCTGGATATAATATGAGACATTTTAAAAAAAGGTTCAATATATCAATATTTTTGCTATATATCACGATTTGCGCATTCTCTTGAAGAACTATACTTTTCTTCTGCAGCTTCTGGTACATTACTTTTCATTGCGTTCTATAACTCCCAAAAGATATGGTCCAATTTTTCAGGTTCTTCTCCACATTGGCACGTGTAGTTCTGTAGTATTCCTAACCTATAGCATTCCTTTTAGAAAGATGAATCTTACACAAAGTGTGTTCAAATCTCATTCTTGTTGTAGTTGGTACAAAGTTCCCATTCTCAGTCATATCCTATTTAATCAATTGTTTTTTCTTCAGTGTTTTAAAAATTAAATACTTGGCGTTCATAAAATTTAATGAATTAAAATGAATACACTCTATTTTTAATATCATTGAGCATCAAAATGCAATGTTTGCAATAGCAAATATATTTTTCTTAAGTTGTCTTCAGACTAAAAAATCCAACTCTGATGAATTCCCCGACTGCGTGGAATATTTCAGAGGTTTTTGTTAGCAAATCGATAAAAAACCGCGTGCGATCTAGTTTATGCTAAAAGATTCCAAAGGCCGCCATTGTTATGGGATAAAATGAATCATAGTTTCTGTTTATTTTTCGATTTGTTAAAAGAATGAATATGGATGATTCGCCAGTTATTTACAATCGCCAAGCTAGTTTTTTAAATAGCATGATAAAATACGAGGTTGCTGCAGGTAATGGTATTGTACTGAATATTCATGGTTTGGCTATCTGGTGTAATTACGTTAATTTTTAAAACGGTTTCTTTGAGTGCGTAACATGTAAATGAAGTTTTATATTGTTTGGTACATTGGAGTTGTTTTAAATATGTACTTTGTTTTAAGCGTCATTGCAGTATTTTATTTATCACAACTAGTTTTTTATTGATTACGCAAGTAGAGGTTGTGGGAAAACTAATTTACCTGTGATAGCCATTTTATAAATACAGGTGCACATATAGTAAAAATCATAAATAAAACAATAAGTCTCAAGTATAGCTAAGATTTGGAATAGATAAATAAGGGGCCAATATTCCCTGATAAAATAGAAATGTTATGGTGATACTATATTAAGGATCTATATTCGTATGAGTTGGTAGTAACGAACTATCAAAAAGCTATGTATTTGTTGTGCGATCAGGTATTTTACGCAATAGTTTGATTTAAATTTTTAATCTTTTGTTAACTTTGCATAGTAAAATATTGTTATAGTAATCGACTAAAAAGTAAAAATCGAAAATGAATTTTTTTATATTTTTAAGTTTTAAAGGTTTCTGTACATTTTGGCATATCGTAGAAAAAACGGAAGTGTGCGTGTGTTTGTGTGTGAGTGTATGTTTGTGTGTGAGTATATGCATGTATGGATACAATTTTCCTTCAAGTTTTTGGAAGGCACGGATCAACTGATTTGAATTATTCAAAAACCATTCGATTCCTATTGATAAGATACTGATTAGTTTTTGGCAAAGGTTGGTCCAGCCGTTTCAAAGATACGGAGCAAACAGTGCAGAAAATGGCAATTAAGTCTTTGAGAGAACGGAGCATCCGATTTGAATGATTCCAAAAACATTTTACTTATCTTGACGTAATGAAGAATTGTTTAAAGTTTTCCAAAGGCGGGTCCAGCGGTTTCGGAGATCCATAAAAAAAGAAATATAATAAAAAATGGCATTCGGCAGTTCAAAATCAGATATTTTAACAGAATTTCAAAATTTTCAAAAAAAAAAAGTTTTAAAAATTTATAAGTTTTCAAAAAAGGTATTTTCTAACAAGAGTATTTTCAAAAAATCTATTTTTTTTAAAAAAATTTCATGGTATTCTTAAAAAGATTTTTTATTCATGTTTTTAAAATACTAAAATTTTCAAGTGTTTTTAGAATTTTTAAAAATGTTCGAAAATATTCAAAAATTTAAAAAAAAACTATTTTTTCTTCCTGAGGTTTTAAAATTTTTTATGGATCAACCGACATGAATGGATGTCAAAAACTTTCAAAAGCTAAAAAAATTTTTTTTGTAGATTTTTTAAATTTTGTAGGTTTTCAAAAAAGGCATTTTTTAACATCAGTATTTTCAAAAATTCTAAAAATTGAAAAAAAAAATCATAATCGAAAATTCTAAAAAATTAAAAAAAAAATCATAATATTCAAAAATGATTTTTTTTTCATTTTTTTCAATATTCAAATTTTTTAAGATTTCAGAATTTTCAAAAATGTTCGAAAATATTCAAGAAATTTAAAAAAAATCTTATATTTTTCTGGTCTTTTGAAAATTTTAAATTACAGTGGTGCAAAAAGTTTCAGCTGTTTACTTTGTATGTAAAACCCGTATGAATAAATTTCAATGTAGTACTTTTTTATAGCAAAAAATCTGTGTTGTATTTCACAAGTCTCGATAGTTTTTTTTCTGTCGATGATTTTGCTATTATTTGAAACTGCTGATGTGTACACTGGACTTTCGCATGTGTCATGTCTGATGAAATAAATAGAAATATGACTCGACATACAAAACAAAATCATATTTATCTCTGGCCGTTACGACATTTGCATAGTTATTTTTATGAGTACACTTATTGTAATTATTATTACGTACGTGAATATTATTAGTTTTTGAATTTTCAATGCATATCTTTTGAGAAAACAATCTATTTTCGCACTTTACGAGTAAATATTTACACAGAGTTTGAATTGTATTGCATGCAATCGATAAAAACTGTTGTTGTTATTGAACTATTTCTTGTCAAGTGTTTTATCTTATTTAAATATAAAATGTATTATGAAATTAATTAATATCAGAAAAATAAACTTGTGGTGCATGGCATTGTACCTTAAGGCAAATTGCTGTAACTTCCCATACAATAATTAAACATTTGCAAAGTAAAAATAATAAATTATCAATAAAAATTTGTTAATGAGTAATAATAATTGTTTTAAATATTTTGAAAAAAAAAAAATTATATCTAGTGTAAATTTTATTTTCGTATTTTATATACCTAATATAATATAAGTGCTTATATTTGGGCGACGACCTTTATCTATGTTTAATATTGTATTTATAAGTATTACTAAAATCTATAAATTTAATATACTTTTCTAATTATTCCACTAATCTTTTACATGGTACAAAATTAAACCATTAGTTTGTTGCATAAATATTGTAATATACAGTTTGTTTGTTTGTGCATAATTTTCTAGTGTTATCTTTAACATTTGCATAAACCGTTTCGTATAATTAGAATTCTCAGAAAATAATGATAAATATTTCATAAGGTTTCGAAAAATCATTTCGTTTGTTATCTACTATACATAATACTATGGGCTTATATTCGTAGAAGTACAGTTATGTCCAAGATTATGCAAACTGAGGTCATATAAGTATATAAGTATAAGTTTCTTATAAAATTTAATTCATTAATTTGATCTGATCTAATTTATGAACCGTTACATTTTATTACTTCCAGATCATCGATTGGAAATTGAAATTGTTGCAATAATTTCCCGAATTTAATCAATTGGAATTTAATGACTTGGAAAGTTGGTAATGATCGCATTTTCTTATTAATTTAATTTCAACTTATAGAATATATTTTGCCACCCAAATGCAGAGGATAGTAAATCAAAATTGGTATAAAGATTGGCACATAATGTTTCCCAGATTACTTTATTCTTTTGTTGACTTTCTAGAAGCTGGTAATAGTATTTTTTTCAAATTTTATTATTATTTTAATTTTATAGTAATTATGTCGTTTTAAATTTATGCATACCTGAATATTTTAAATATTACCTGAATATTTACTAAATTTTTAATTTTGTGCCAAACATATCAGCAAAAATACGAATTATGCTCTATACACATTCTAAACATTTTGAGTAAAACTTTTTTGCTACTCTAAAGTCTAACTTGCTGGTTAGATTTTAAGTTTTCACATGGCTTACTGGTTAGATATAGATAAGCTTCCAATCAGAAAAACTAAATTTGATCCAATATCCTGATGTCAGGCAGTAGTGACCAATTTTTTTCTTTATCATTTATATTAACATTTTATACAAAAGAATATTACTTTAAATGCACTCGATCTAATTAGCATAAGCATTTTAATTTAATTTATTAGAAACTATTACTGAATGAATTTCTAATTCATCGCCCTTTGAACATGTAAAGACTCTCTATTGATATTTATCAATCTCAGCGGCACAACGCCTCGATGGTATTTATTCTATAATTTGTGTTTTGAAAAATGTATTAATCTACTATTACTTATTTGATCATTATTTCATATATTTGAATCAATTTACAATATATTTGCTAAAAGTATAGATAGCTACATGCTTTCAAGTTAAGATAGCCCTTTTTGAGCATTGGTGCCACATCACAATTACAAAGGCGTCTTAGGGTTGTCTTCAATTAGCATTTAAAAATAAATCTTCTCTAGATTGTTAATAGTCATAAGATAAATTTTGCAAATAAGTCGCTTTTTGTTTTTAACTACAGTGAGTAATGTCAGGGGTCGTTCAAGTATTACGTAAGCACTATAGAGGGGGGGGGGGCGTAGGAGTTATTGATTTGCTTATTTTGGGTGAAATTTTGGTGCAGCTTTACTTACTTTTGCTGACAAGGGGGATGGGGGGGGGGTAAATAATTGTACTAAATCTGCTTACGTAATATTTGAACGATCTCTAATAGTAATATCTAAGATACATTCATATTGTTAGGATTTGCTTTTGGCAAAGGAGGTAATTAAAGAAAGAATCAACTTTTTCAATCAAAGATTTATTTCTAAACAAACAATAATTATAGTTAATATATGATTTTAAGGTTAACGTATATCACGAAGGTTAGAGAATGAATGGCGGCTTCAACATCATCCTAGATAGGCTCGGTTTAAGCAGGAAATATATTCCATAAACCCATAGACCGGAAACCTAATCCTGCATTAATACAGGTATTCCATAGAGCATAGAGGGATGGTAGAGACTATAGAGCGTAGATAAGTGTTGGACATGATGGTGCTGGCACACAATAATATACACAACTGATTTTCTTTTTTTTACCGGACCTCTCATCGTCAATCCCTGTTACAATTGAACGATGTGGCGTGATTCATGGAAGCGAAGCGATTCCGTACTACTATATGTCTTGTCTTACGTGTACATTTCGGCGGCTGATGCAACATTGCCGCAATAGCGAAGTGCGGCCAACGTGCCGCCCGATTGCGTCATCATAATAATAATATTGTCATTCGAATAATGACTTGCGAATTATTCGACATCGACTAGGACTAGAATAAATAAATAAACACTACGAGTACAATATAGGACGACGTGCTAATTTAGGCTGAATTGAATTAATTTTATGCCAGTCATAGAGGTTGACTTTTTTACAACAGGGGTATACCTACAGTGGAAATGTTTTCGATGAATGTTTCGCATGAAGAAGTTCAGAGATCTCATCTCGTTCTAATGCAATTCGAAAGAAATGGAATGAATCATTGCGATGAGCATAAATGTTCCATTGATTTTTTTCAGAGAAAACAACATTAATGTAATATGTAATGAATATACCGAACATACCCAATGAATGAAATAATATGACAATGTACTTTTACATATTTTTTATCAGTAACCAGAACTCAACGAGTTCTATGGACTGTTCTGCTGAATTTCTAAACAACATGCCTCTTTTATAAATGGCAACCAATACGGTTGTCCCATCTTTTTGTGAGTTTATCATTACAAATGACAAAAACTTTAATACTGATGTCATCAGTCTATTGATGACGGGTAAAGGTTATATTCGTCTGGATAGATTTTGCTATCTATTTATACTGCTTGATATGAGACTGACCGATACGGGAATTGAACCTGGAATTTTTTATTAAAATCCCATAAGTTCAACCACCAAGTCCAGTCCAACAAAGTTTTAGTAAGGATGCCAAATAAAATAGGATGTAGCTCTGTCGAATAAAATAAAATACTTAGTGTATGGAGAAAAATATGAAATTAATTATCAAATTAATAATTATTGAATATAAATAAAATATTGTTATATGTATATTCATATTTTTTCGATCTGTATTCTACTTCTAAAGACGTTTTGTGATTATTTGGCAATCGTGGATAGCTGAAACCTTGTAAGTCCTAAAGAAAAGCTTTTTGAGACAAAGAACCAAGAGATGGGCGCTCTAATCTCTGTTTTCAAGGAGAAATACATAAATACATTAAATTTAATAAAAACTTATATTTTATATTGGCATATTTGGAAGGACCCTTAGGGAATCCTTGTACACAAGGATAACGTCAGGTTTACTCTCTTAGGATCTTGATGAAACTTCGCATGGTGATAGAGTTGATAGTTTTATAATTAAACCACTTATCATAGGCCTATAATATTTTAAGGTGTTCGGTTTGACTATGCCATGCGAAGTTTGATTAAAAATCCCAGAACCTAAGGTTCTTGTTAGAACTTTGTTAACCTAAGGTTCTTGTTAGAACTTAGAACCTTGTTAGAAAATTGTAATTATGGTAACCCGAAAAAGAATTGTGTGATTTTTGCTTCAATTTTGTAGTAACAGTATAAATATCTTCATACATATTTGACAAAATATGAATTTGAACATTATATTTATTAACAATACTAATTTGCAATATTTGATACCTATTAACAAGCCAACGTTGAACTTTTGAAATATTTGTTTTTTATCTAAAGTAAGGTGTTAGAAAAATAATTTTGGACTATAAAATTTTATACAATTGATAAAATTTCAACTAATAAAAAACATAAGTTTTGGATAAGATATCAAAGTGCTACAAACAATTCATAGTGGTAACTTTTCTTGGCACAGACAAATCAGATTGCGTTTTTAAACATTAGATGTTTGTGAAATCAAAAATAACCATGGCGCAATCTTCTATTTAAAAAATTTAAAACATGTTTCTAAATAATTGTACATTGTATATGAATTTAGCAATGTGCAAAGAAATTTTAAAACTGGTACCATTTTTTTACTTCATTGATTATCGTCTGTGTTTTTTCTCTTTTATTTATATCTTTATTTGTTTGTTTTTGTAATATAATTTTTGTACAGTAAATAAATTCATGAATGAAACACTTCAGTGCTGATGTTGATTATTATGATTTCATAAAACACCATTTCCCAGAAATCAATTACACCAACAGTATGAACTCGCGTTAGTTTTCCGATTCATTCTATAAATATATAGTTCATGTCGTTTTAAAATTAGAATTAGAAGTAATTTGAAGAAAGCCTTCCTGGTAATTTCTAATAATATGCATTCACGGACTTGGTTAATAAAATGTTGAAGCAATTTATTTAGATCACGCAATTGCCGGCTTCTTGGTCGTATATTTTAGTATCCATATAAATATAATCAAAATTTGGACAGTATCCGCGTTGCTTTACATTAATGTAGTAATAAAATGCATTTTATTTGTTTTAATAACCACTGCAATTTTAATTAAATCATGTATACACAACGGTTTTTCTGTTCCTACTTTATGCATATATGTTAATATATTTGTTTGTCCTAATACTACTCATATCCACTGATGATGACTAATTGCATGTCGTAACTCCTAGGAAAATATAGATGTTCCAACATTTTTACTTTTTCACTTGATGTTATATACTCCAAGATATTATTTTATGTGTTCTTATGTATTTGGATATTAGTTTATTCGCAATGTATTAGCATAAATCCACCCAAGTGAAACAAATCCAACCAATGGTATTCTGACCTTTACAATTTTCTAGAAGAGAAACTGGAATGCCTCTGACTCATGGCGTTTTATTCAGTAGAAGTGGTTTTAAATGTGTGTATGCGCGCGAATGTATACTCCGAGACATAGTCATTTGCAAAAAAAAATATTATCGATGACTGTCAAACTTTATGTGCAAAATTACAGAACTAAATATACTTTCGTATGCCCTTATTTTGTTCCATTTTAGCATTAACAAAATTTTAGTAGTTACTACTTAAAATATACATTGTTAGAAGAATAAAAGTAGTTTTAAATTTTATTTCAAGGTTAACAATCAAACAAAAATGGTCTAATTTTTTTAACAGCAAGAGTTTTTATGAGTTGTTGTGATTACCCTTCTTAACCACGTGGTTTCTTAGTAGGCAACCATCGTATTAGATTTGCTCAAATACTGATGATATATTTTTTAATTTGATGCAGCAATATTATAAAGAGATATTTTCACTTGTAAATATATATTAGATTTATATTATAAAGTAAACATCAATATCATTTCTATGTGATATCAGACTTGGATATCGAACCTGGAGCTTTGGGTTGCCTTTAAATCAATAAATCAATAATTAAATTTTTTTTAAACAATAAAACCAATATACTTGCTATTTTATTCTAAAGTATTGGGATCACAAAATGAAATAATGTAATGCATAAAAATCACCAAAATCATTTCTATACATTATATTTGCAATTATTCCGCGAACCACCAAATAATTAGTAGCTTACCATATGGGCAAGAGATGAATTAATTTTATT